GAGGGGAAGGGGAAAGTAGTCAAATGTCTGTTGTATCTGGCATTAGAACAGAACTGGATTTGGAGCACCAAGGTTGGTTTTTGATATTGATTTTTTGTAGCTGATATGTCCTACACTCTCCAAATATTTGGGTTAGTTTCCTTTTCTGGTTGTGGTAGCCATTAGTGATGCCTATCAGTGTTTCTGGCTTTCTGCCTTTTGGACACGTGGTGACTCTTTCTGGTCAATGAGTTGTGAGCATTTGGGTTGAAGCATTAACTTGTGGGTGTGAGACTCTTCAGAGCTTTCGCTTTCCCTGTGGTACTGAAATTGGAAGCATTTGAGATGGTGGCTGGTCCATTGTGAGTAATTATGATGAGCACAGCCTCCTTGCTGGCTCATGTTGGACAAGTGGTACAAGCCAGAAATAAACTCTTATTATGTTAAGTCAGAAGATTCTGAAGTTGTTTGTTACTGTGGCCTACCTAGTTTATCCTGCCTAGTACTGCATTTCCTAAATCCATTTGGATTATTTGGGGGTTGCTCACAAAAGTCCTATATTTGTATAATTCTTTCAACTTAGGAAAAATGCTTTCAGGTCTATAATATCATCTTATTGCCACAGTAGTCATATAAATATATAGATGAAAAATATTATTAGCTCCATTTTGCCAGGGGGAGAATTGGGGCAAACTCCTCAAGTTCTCTGTTTACTTGTTTAGCTGTGTTTGTTACTTTTTATTTGCTTGTTTTCTTAAGCAATATGATTACACAATAAAAATCTCATTATAAAAAGTATTGCTTCTCGTTTTATTAATATTTTATTTGATGGCCCACTTCTGAAGAATTTCACATTTTTTACTTTATTCTTTCTCTGCACCAAGTAGACAATGTTGAAAATGCAAAGGACTTTTGCTGCTTTGGTTGGAAAGCTAAGTGAAGGGAGTGGTTAGCTACCTATTTGCCTGCATTGAGCTTTGTTAGGGGCCAAGAGAATTACTCTTGAGGGGGACTGAAAGGGAAGACAAGGAAGCTGGAATGATACATCAGGCAATAGATAATGGGCTCCTACCGAGGGGGTTGACTCAAGAGCAAAGAGTAGATGTATAATATTTCCCTTGGTAAGAAAGTGGCAGCAGGCTCGCAATACAGAGTGGAGGAGAAAGCAAGGGCAGGTTACTCTGAAAGCAGAAGAGATATCTGCTTTGCAGGGAACTTGGGAAGCACAGTGGTGAAGAGTTGGGCTTTAGAAGCAGAATACCTGGATTCAAATCCTGGTTCCACCCCTTAGAAGCTGTGTAACCTCTCGTGAGCTACTTCATCTCTCTGCACTTTGGATTTCCCTTCTATAGGGTGCGGTTAGTAGTACCTGTTTCATAAGGATGCTGTGAGGATAAAATGTGCTATGAAATGTAAAGCTCTTAGAACAGTACACAGTCCTTGACATATTACAAGAGCTTGATAAATATTAGTTACTATTATTATTATTTGTTGTCACCGCTTTCGCCACCATCCTGGTCCAGGCCGCCCATCACCTCTCACCTGGATTAATTCAAAGACTTCCTGACATCTATTCTTGTGTCAGCTCCAATTTCTTCTCCACCTGGTAGCTAGGGTAGCCTTTTAAAATTAGAATCTCATCAAGATTACTTAAAACTTTACAATGAAGTCTAAAATCTTTAGTACAGTTTCCAAAGAACTTCTCTCTCTGGCCTCGGTTGGTGCTGACCTCTGTAGTCCAGACTCATGTTCCCTCTCTTAGATCCCTGTGTGTGCCATCTTCTGCCTACCTCAGAGCCTTTGTATTGATATATTTTAGAGGAGCAATGCTTTCCCTCATCCTGATGTTGCCTTTCAGGTGGAGGAGTCTCTGCTGGGGTGACAGTTCTCTCTCCACCCCTTTACTCACTCTGCCCAATGGGAGGTGGAGTCATTTACCTGATGTGTCAATCTTGGAGGAATTTCTGGGCCTCCTCAGCTCAGCTCTGCCCTCTTCCTCTTGGAAGTGAGCTTCCTTCTGGGAGTGGGTGGCCTCTGATGCTCCTCTAAGGGCAGGCTCTTTCCCACAACATGGGAGGCCTGCCTGGTCCAGGATTGCTAATGACTATGTGGCTAAGCCTACCTCATCAGGGGGTCAGTTAAACTCGCCCACCTGGCTAACAAATTAAAGCCGTGACTTCCAGCCTGTCTTCTGTCAGCACTAATGATGCTATACGGATTCTCCAAATGTACTCCTTTCTCCTCCCCGCTCCTCCTCTTTCTGAATTGGGATATTTCTAGTAGTTCACAGTGCAAAAGTAGTGCTAAGAGGATAATGTTGAAGATCTTCTGTGCTGTAGTAAGGAATGATTTGTACTAAAATTTGACTGTAAGCCAATAGCCTGGCTCAATGAAATGGCTGAAAATTAATGTGCCTGATTTAAGGTCTTACCAATACTCACATTTTTGGACAGGGCCGTGGAAATGGAAACATTTTTTCCTTTCGAGTGAAAAACAAAGAAAGGTAAACGTGTCCAGAGATTCTCCAGGAGGGGGAGCCCTCGTTCCTTGTTCTCAGTCATAGCTGTGAGGGTTTGCACCATCTGTGACTAAGTCACAACAGAGCTAGTAGAACAAACAGGATGGTTGCTATACATCAAATTAAGCAAAATTGTCACAGTCCCCATTTGGCATTATCACTTTATCCCACACAATTGGCTCTTCACCTATATGGAATTCAATTTTGTGGGAGAGTTTCTTTCTAATTCCTGCCATGGTTTTGAATATCCCAGCAGAAGTTCTCTCTGTCTTTTTAGCAGGATACAGGCTTAACCTCTGTTTTGCTTTCAACTTTAGAAGGAAAATATGAAACAGAATTAAGAATATGTGATCCTTTAAGTTAACTGCTTTTTCTCCTTTGCTTTTCGTTTCCCAATTATTTTCTCCAAGTCTCTTTCTTAGAAAAACGTGCTGTGACCGACAGTTCTCACAGCCTTGCTTCCTAGCCCAGCTCTTGAGTAAATAACTCACTACAAAATAGTCATCATCAGCTCAGAGAACAGTTTTCAGCACATTACTGTGCATCAGACCAGCTAGGCTGGAACTCTTCTCTTGATATCTCTCTTATTCTTCCACAATGTGTTGCACAGAGCTGGACACATTGATTCCTGGTCAATGTTAAAAATGGCCATTTAACAGATGACCGTATATTTTTTAATTAGGCAGCAGTGATTACTAGGAGTCAGTGTAGGGTCACTTAAATCACACAGACTAACCTCAGTTTTAAAATATGAGTGGATGGAAGTTCCCTGGGCATGTCGATACTGAATTTCAACAAGACCTGTCACCCCAAATTTCTCATGCTATCTTGATGGATAAGATAGAGGTAAGCCTCATGGGAGTATAGTTCAGCGTATTTATAAAAGGTTAAATAAAACATATTTTGTATGTTTCATATAAACACCTGAACCTGGTATTTACATTAATCAGTAAAGCAATTTCTAGTAGTTTGCCATAATTTTATTTCTCTAATTCAAAAAGTTAGGGGCCATCCTGGTGGCACAGTGGTTAAGTGCACACATTCTGCTTTGGTGGCCCTGGGTTTGCCGGTTTGGATCCCAGGTGCGGACGTGGCACTGCTTGGCAAGCCATGCTGTGGCAGGCATCCCACATAATAAAGCAGAGGAAGATGGGCACGGATGTTAGCTCAGGGCCAGGCTTCCTCAGCAATAAGAGGAGGACTGGCAGCAGATGTTAGCTCAGGGCTAATCTTCCTCAAAAAAAAAAAAAAAAAAAAAAAATTTTTTTTGATCTTTAGCCCTGTCTTTTTTAATGTATTGGTCTACAGCTTTGGAAGACTGTATAAAAGGCATGTGTTTGATATTTTTTGATGACACAAATTTGGGAGAAATATTTAATACTTTGGGATAGCACACTCAAGATTAAACTTTTTTATTAGGCTGGTATAATAGGAATACATGAAAAACCTTGTACAGCAATATTTAAAAAAATCAACTGTGAGTGTTTAGGAAAGGGAGACCTGATTTAATAATGATTTATGAAGACATGATCTAGAGATTTTAGTTCATCAAAACTTGATATGAATAAACACTGAGATCAATTGCCAAAATGCTGATGAAATTTTGAAGCATGTTAATACAATAGTCCAGAATGCAGTACATCAAAGTCTCTACTGCACCTGGACTGGTTGAACCAGATCTGCAATATGTGTTTGGTTCTGGGCACCATGTTTTAAGAGAGATGCAGAGAAGTTGGTATGGACCCAAAAGAGGTTGACCAGGAAGAAATGTCAATAAAACAAGTCATGGAGAATGGCTGAGGGTTTCAGAAATATCTGGATCAGAGTGGAGAAGATTTAGGGGAGGCCTATGAGTTGTCTTCAATTATTTGAAGGTTGTCAACGTGGAAGGGGTTTCGACTTGGGCTGGGTGGCCCCGGGGATGGAATTTTTAGCACATGGCAAAAACTTACAGGGAGGTAGATTTGAGTTTCTCATAATAAAGACCTTTCCATCAATTGCCATTCCTAAATGGAAAGAGGCTGCCTTTCAAGGTGGTCATTTTCCCATCAGAAGACTTTCAAAGGCAGGTCTAGGGGCCCCTTGTCAGAGTTATCTAGTGTCATGTTTTGGGAAGGTGGACCACTTGATCCCTGAAGTGCCTTCTCACCTCACTGGCCCCAGCACGAGCTCACTGTCTGCATACGGTAGGTGCCTAAGCAATATCTGCCAAATGAATGACTGCATAAGAGTAAAGAATCTCAGGGGCAGACTTTTGCACTTGTCACGTTTTTCAGTCATGCATGATTTTATGGCATTGAACAGTAATTTCACCTACTATCAGGAGCATGTCATCTTGGGAAAAATGAAGGCCTTGGGCCACACAGAGTATAAAATTTCCTAGATAACTGGCTTATCTTTCTTGCTCTGGCATAACTCATTCTCAGCCTTGAAAGTTTTAGAGCTATTTCCGATAATGAGCAATGCCTTGCCCCAAACTAATGTGATGCTATTTCTTTTTCAGGATAATCGTATCCACACATCCAAGTACAACATTCTCACCTTCTTGCCAATTAACTTATTTGAACAGTTCCAAAGAGTGGCAAATGCCTATTTCCTTTTCCTACTGATTTTACAGGTAATGTTTAGGTTGTATGTCTTCATCATTTGTTTGTTAAAAGAATTCATATAATTTGAAAAAGTAAGTTAATTTACTCAGCTAAATGTTCATGATTAGGTAAAACCATCCTTATCAGATTTTTAGTGTTATTATTGCTGTTTCTCTTCACAAATCTGGGAGGGTTAGGAATGGGTAAAAACTAGCACATTCATCATTTTAAACACTGAGGTCATTTTAAAAGGCAGCCTTGCACTTTATTTGAACCAAACCAGAGCCTAATAATTACTTTTCATAGCCTTCCTCCTTTTTTTATCTCCCCCTGATGTTGTCAGTACGGGTATTGCCAGAGTTGAAGTGCAGAGTCTAGCTGAGCAGTAGTTTGTGGAACTTAATTCAGCAAACTTCATTTGCATCTGAAAACAATGCATATTTTACATGCATGTAAGTAAATGATGTATGCTGTATGTTATTTCACTGTAGAGTGAAAATTTTTAACAGTTTTAAGTGGTCAATTGGTAGTTGATAACATTTGTTTTTCCCCCCATTTGACTAAATTTGGACCTAAATGAAATTTCTGCTTTTACTGATATTTTAGGAAGGAAAAGACATAATCAAAGAATACACATATATATAAACAGCTCGTCAAAGAATACACATATATATAAACAGCTCGTGTTAGCCAGTTATTTACCTAGTGTTCACTTTAGAGTAATTTAACCAGACTAAACTGACAGATTCAGAATGTGCTTGGCTCTGTGCTAATTATAAGAGGTAAGAAGATGGATGAGATATGTGCAGTCTAGATTAATAGCTTGAGTACTGTTTTTTCTTTAATTGAATGATTATTTGTGTTAAAAATCTTTGGGTTTAATGGCAGAAACCTAAATTTGTTTAAGCAAAAGAGAATATATTCAAGGGTGTGTCTCATTTCATGTGTGACTGTATTCATGGGCAAACTATTTCAACAGGATGTGACCTCTCTTTCCTCAGTTTTCCACCATGTTGTCCTGACTCTCAGGCAGGCCCTGTCCACCTGCTGGCCCCTGAAAGCTTTAGACTTTTATCCTCTTGGCTTCAACTCTAACATGAGAGAGAGAGCAAGGAGGAGGGAGAGACAGAGAGAGAGAAGAGAGGAGAGAGCATGAATTCCTTTTTCTGTTGCTCCAGCACGTTTTGGGATTAGGTCTGATTGGATTGTGCTGAGTTATAGCCCTGTCCATAAACCAATCACAGTGGCTCAAGAATTTGATGCAATGATTGTCTTGACCTAGACCCCATGCAAAAACCTGGAACCAGGATGCAATCAGTGCACCCCGATTACATGGACTGAAAGTAGAAGGGGCAAGGTAGTTCTCTAAGAAATAAGGGTACGGTTGAGAAGAACTACATATGAACAGGAAAAAAAAAAGCCATGACTGTACACCTTACAATTTATTGAAGAGACTGTAGAATCTAAGATTTCTTTCCTTGTGAATTTGCTTTTGGTTTCTTCATATAACCATTTACATCATTTCAGAATTTTGAGCTCGTTTCTCTAATGGCTTTCTTGTTTATGATCCAAGGCTCTTGTTCACAGAATTTTTTATCTGAAAGGAACCTTTGAGGTGGTTTAGTCAAAGCTTCTTTCTTTTTTGATGAAGAAATTAGACTCAGAGAGATCCGGTGACGTGTGAAGCTTTTACTGTGAGTTAATAATGGAAGTAAGACTAGACTCCGGCCTTTTTGCCACCCAGCCCAATGTTTTTGTTGGTCCCTCAGAGGCTTTTGAGGTTTGTTTTTTAAATTTTAATCTTATGTGGAAACTATTTTATAAAATTGATTTAGTTTAGGGCTGTTTTGATGAGGCCTGATCTCCATACACTGACCCTCTCCACCCCACCTTTCCCTGTGTGATGGCCCTAAAGCAGCTCCAAACTGAACCCATTTGAAAACCACTTGTCTAAGAGAGTTGTGTCAACTGTCATGGCATCTCTCTCAGGCAGGTGGCTTTGAGGTACAGGCATAAGGCTTTGGAGTCAAATAGACCGAGGTTCAAATTTTAGCAGTGTATGTTCTTGGCCCAGTTGCTTGACCTCTCAGATACTTATTTATAAAATGGGAAAATGATATCCAGGACTGCAGCATTTCCTGACTCTGGGGCACCATTCACAATGTATTCTGATACAATATTTTGCACTAGTCATGCTATTTACATGGAATACAAATCCTATGGGTTTGTGCAAAACAACTCTGGTACAGAATCTAAATCAATAAACTTCTCTGAGGATCAGATGACACAATGCATGGAAAGTACTTGGCACAGTGTTTGGTGCAATGTAGACGCTCAGAGTCTCTCTTTGGGAACTGATGAAGAGTTGGTAAAATTGTTAAAAGTTGAGATGAGAAGCTGAGAAAAGACAGGCGACTTTTATCCTGGGTAAAGATCATCATCTGTGAAAGATTTCAAGAAGCTTTTTAACTGACTATAAAAATTTTATTTTTAAATGGTTCAGTGATTCTTTTATTCTATGTGTCCTCTAACTGAATGCAAACACTTAAATTATTGAAAGTTGTTCTACGTTATACAAATAACTGAATATAATCCCATTAATTTCTATCAAGTCTTATAAAATTAAACAACAAAATTTGGAAGATATATTTAGTAAATTTAAAAGCCCTAAACTATTTGAATTGTTTGTTTCAGTTGATTCCAGAAATCTCTTCCTTGACCTGGTTTACCACCATTGTGCCTTTGGTCCTGGTGATAACTATGACAGCTGTCAAAGATGCCACAGATGACTGTGTGAGTATTTGCTTTTGAGCATTCCTGAGTTCTCAATTTCGTTTGTGACCTCTCAAAACTAGAAAATAGAGATCCATTTTAAATTTTTGAATGATGCTCTTTTGGTCAATACCATATAAAACTCTTCTGCTATTTGTTTGATGATTAATACAGGTGTTATAAAACCAGAGCCTGTTTAAGATAAAAGCAAGAGGCTTTCAATAACTAGACTCACTTCCTCATTTTACATGTGAGGAAACTAAGGCTTATAAAGAACTAGTGATTTGCGAATGATAATGTAACCAATGAGTGAAAAGAGCAGAGTTACAAACCTTGCTTCCATTCAGTGATGTAATTATCCAATATCACATGTCTTTGTCTAAGTTTTGGGAGTTGGTAGATATTAAGCTCGCACATCCTCTGCTCATTATACCAGGAGTTACAAAAGCAAATAGCTTCAAAAATCAGGCAACTTAAGTGAAGTATAAGACAATAGAGAGTTTTGAAGTCTGCATAATCCAAATGAGGTTATTTAAATTTAAAGATTTAAAACACAGTCTTGGGCAAACCAAACATTCTAAGTCCAGACAAGTTATAGTCTCACTCTAGGTGACTGCATGTACCCTAGCCTCAATAACTATATACCAATAACTTACATGTTCATGCTCCCTGCCTAGGCCTCTCCTCTGAACTTGTACCCATATTTCCTGTTGCCTTTTTTCTTTTGGTGAGGAGAATTGGCCCTGAGCTAACATCTGTTGCCAATCTTCCTCTTTTTGCTTGAGGAATAGTGGTCCTGAGCTAACATCTGTGCCAATCTTCCTCTATTTTATATGTGGGACGCTGCCACAGCATGGTTTGATGAGTGGTATGTAGGTCTTCACCTGGGATCTGAACCCACAAACCCCGTGTTGCTGAAGAGAAGCATATAAACTAACAACTATGCCACCAGGCTGGCGCCCCTGTTGTCTATTTTTAAACTGTCTGTGTCTTTAAAGTGGGTTTCTTGCAGACAGTATACAGTTAGGTAATGCTTTTTTATGAAATCTGAAAATCTCTCTTAATTAGAATGTTTAACCCATTTACACTGAATGTGATTATCATTATCATTAGATTTAAATCTATCATCTTGTTACTGCTTTCTAAATGCCCCATTGGTTCTTTGTTGCATCTTTTTCTACCTACTTTTAGATTTAATTGAGTATTTTTTGTGATTCCATTTTATCTTCATTTTTGGCTTAATAGGTATATATATGTGTATATATATATTTTTTTGTGTGTGTGTGTGTGCGGTTGTTCTAGGGTTTAACTTAGCACAGTCTACCTGCGGCAATCTGGCTTTAGAGCACTGGCCCTTATTCCCTAGATCCCTCTGTGCTAAGCTATATGAGGGATGCAGAAATGAAACAGACACAGAACTCCAAGTTAAAAAAAAAGCTTAAAACCCAGTGGGGGAAGATGGGACATGTACATGAATAACAATAATATGAGATAAAAACGTTATAAGTCATAATAAAAAAACGAAGTGACTTGGTTCTGGTTGGCAGTGGAGGTGGAGTGTGAAAGGGAGAATTAAGGAAGGCTTCATGGAGAAGGTGGCAACCCAGCTCTACTGAGAGTGGTTGAGTATGGGAAAGCGAGTTGGGGAGATTTGTACTTATCAAGTTGGTTCTTATAATCCTCATAGTTGTTTTACGTATAATTTTCTGATAAATCAACAATTTGATGTGACTCATTTGAAAATTGTCTCTCACTATATAATTTGCCTTCATACACCATGTTTCTATGGGATGCATGGGATATAACTCTCTTCAATTTTAGTGAATTGCCTAATGTATTTCATGGTGCACATTGTGACTATAACCTTTGATGCTAGATTTTTAACTAACACACAGGACCTATTCACACTGATGAATAACGTCCCTTTAAAGTGGTCAACTCGGGACGTTCCTGGAGTCCACCCATTCCTGTGAGGTTGCTATTGTTCAAGGTACTTTGGAGCTCCTCTTATAGAATTGCTCTCATGGTCAGTGTACAAGGTACAGAAGAAAGCCAATTTCATGACTTGTGTTCACCCAGCTTTGGAAACAAATGCCATTTCTCAGCCCATTAAAAAAACCAGCTTATTCACCCTATCTGCTTTCTAAGAGAGCCTTTCATATATTTCCCAACATAAGACACCCCTTCATGTCCTTTCTGAGGATAAATAGCTCCATCTTCAAAGAATAAATGAGATTTTAAAGAATGGGCTAGAAGCAGCAAAGGTAATTCGAGGAGAGGAAATTTCAACAATGATTTGAGTAATGATATCTTTGGAGTAAATATGTGATTTCTCCATACTATCTGATCTTTCAGGGAAATAGTACTCATTTAGATGCATGAGTTCCTACATATTGACTTTAAAGTTCTTATTCATTATAGTCACACTTCATAGAAGAATAAAATGGTAGAGTAGAAAGAGCATGGACTTTGGAGAAAGACATCTAACCCTACCATGTTCTGAAAGTGTGACATGAGGCAAACCGCTTCTTTGAACCTTATGTTGTTTGTATAATGTGGCCAATGACATCAGCACTGTCGGGAAGATAAAATGAGATGCTGTGTGTAAAGCACCTGGCATGGAGCCTGGCTCACAGCGGGCACACAATCAATGCTAGTCCTCTGCTCCCTTCCTGTCTGGGGCGGTTCCCTTCTAAGCCTTCATATCTATTTCTAGAGAAGAAATTGTCAAGAAGAGTCAGCCTGGGCCTGAGACTACCATTTCTAGTCCTTCCAGACTCTATCTGTTCCAATACCAAGACCCCTTGGAAAAGCCTGGGCAGAAGTGGAAGTGGCCCCAGCTTGAGGCCCAAAGAGTGGGCTGCTCAGCTTTTAGGGGGTAAACTGATTGATCCTTTTCTGTGATGCCCAGTTAGTCAGTGTAGGGGACTGTTTTCAGGTTAGACACAGATGTGACTAAATACCAGGTGTCCTTTGTCTCTACTGCAGTTAATGCTTGAATGTGCTTTTATTTTTGTAATTATATGTGCCAGTTCATCAACCAGATATCTTTATCAGTCAGGGTCTTGGCAGGAAACAGATGTCACCCTGAAATGGGGGAAGATTGGAGAAAGATTAATAATGAAGGGACCATTTACAAAGAGTGTAGGTGAGGAAAAACACATAGGGTAGCAACATGGGTGGCATTACTACTTCTAGGCTTGAAGGGGCAAAGGGAGGAAGCTATTACAGATTGGAGCTGTTCTTGAGTGTTGCTCGCAGCCGCTGGGGCTCTCTGTAGAGGAAGCAGCCACTGCTAACCAGCTCGAAGGAAGCCAGGGAAAAAAATTCCCCGTTTCACTTCCCTCTGGCCCTCTGCTCTTCTGCTAGTACCACCTGCTGGTCAAACCCAACCAGAAGCCAGAGGGCTAGGACAGTATATCTAGGTCAGCTTTCCTTGGCACAGGGAAGAGTGGGGAAGGATGGGGTGTAGATATGGAGGAGTCAACAGAGAATATCCAGCATCCCTGTCAAATTATGCCCTCAGACAAAATAATGTTTCCATTTCTATTTTTCTATTGGTGGGGAGAAGTTTGTTTGCATGCCAATGATAGGCTGACAATTTCCTCCTCGACCAGCATTATAAACTCCATGTTAACAAATGCTAAGTATTTTATTTTTCCTGGTAATATCCATTAACTAATACCTGGCCATCACTGTGAGTGTATGCACTGGTCATAGCATGATAAAAATATTGGGATGGGTTTGGGAAGGATGTTGATAAAGGGAAGGGCTGGTGAAAGCATTTTATATATTGTGGTATTGATACAATATTTTGAATTTTTTCAAAAGGAAAAAGCACTAATTCTGAAGATTGCAATCTATGAAATCAAAGTTTAATGTCTCCTGATACTACCCCCTGCTCATCTGTGATTTTAGGTTAATTGGTGAAATAGCACCTTATCTCTACTTTAGCCTATTACTATCCAGTCTTGACAGTTCGTGTAGAAAGTCTTATCTGAATGGCTGCTAATTTATGAGTTTTAGTAGAGGGCTCCTAATATTTGGATTCTTCTAAGCAATATGAGGTGTTTACAATCCTGGACTATACAATAAGAAATGGGATCACTTGGGCATAAAAACACAAATCCACACCAAATGTGGTTCAGTCTTGTATTGTGATTTTTGTTTTAAATGCTCAGTATTTCATAAGATTACTGTTAACAATTAGAATTTCTGGAGAATAAAAAAACATGTTGTTACAAGGAATTTCTTGGCTTCAAAGAAATGCACCAGGCATTTTGAATGGTGTTCCAGTAAAGTATTGAGCACATATGTGAGAGAAATGGAAGCCCCCGTTCTTTGTTGAAGACCAAAATTAATGTATGGTTTTCTCTGGAACTATATGGCAGAGTAAAGAGCATATTCTGTTCTGAGAAGCAACTAAAAGAGTGTGAGAACTAGAAGAGCATATGGCTAGACTAGTACCATTGGACACCCAGAATGAAGTTGGTGAGAAAGGTCTTGATTCAGAATTAGCGTGTGTGAAGTTGGGTCCAAGGTAAGCAGAAGTCATGCTCATCTTGGATCGATGGTAATATTGTCCAAACAGATGAACTCAAAGTATTTTCAGTGTCTCTATTTGTGCTGACAAAGTATCATTTAATATGTTTTCTTACAAACACTTTGATTTTCAGTTTCGCCACAAGAGTGATAATCAAGTGAATAATCGGCAATCTGAAGTGCTCATCGACGGCAAGTAAGAAACACATTCTTTGGGTTATTTTTAAGATTTCTGGGACCCCAAAACAGGTCTTGACAATTGGTGGCTTTCTCTTTTAGTTAAATATATATTTCTTTTTCCCTCTGATTTATTAAAAATTGCACTGTAAGTCCGTTTTATCTTCATGACTCTTTTTTTATGTTCAGCAAATGCTTGTGCTACTCAGTCAACTTCTACTTCAAATTCCTTTGGAGTTTCTTGTCTGGAACTCAGACATATCGTTGTTGCTTTCCATATCTAGATCTAATACTATTTAGAATTGGCACATGTTTGTAGTAGACGTTTCACAAGTATTTGACTGAATTGTTTAATTTGGTAATTTCTGGTGAATATTGCGACTTTGACACATTACTATATGAAGTGATAGTGATAAGAATTTGTATTCATTTGAGAGTTGAATTTAGAATGGATTATCTGCCATAACAAATTTTCATTGCTTTTAAATTCATCCACCAGTAAAGAAATATTTACAGGAATGTTGCTTGAATATGAAATTCTTTAAAATGTGTATTTACACACAAACAACAGAAAAAATACCTTTAGAAAACTTAGAGGTAAATTTCAAAACTTCATTCCATTGTTTCTTGCTCTCTTTCTCTTTGTCCCTTTTTTGATAATAATAACACATGGAAAAGTAGATTTGTAACAATGTCCTTCAATCGGGCAGACAATAACATGGGCTAATGATTTTGAATCATTTGTATACTTTGAAGTAGATAGTTTTTAAAGGGAAAAATCATAAAACAGGTTAATCATGTGAGATGGAAAATTGCAAGAAATGATAAAGATATCAAGAGGGGCTAGGTAGCCTAGACAATAACTGGTAGGATCGAGGTAGTTAATCTCTTTCCATAGCTAAAATGTTGACTGATCACTGATAATGTAATGAATACACATAATTTTTCTTTATTGGCTTGTTTTAGAAAATAGTGTTAAATGCAGAATGAAGAAAAATGATCTTAATCTAAAGCCATAGTTGCAGAGACAGGGCCTCTGAAAGTGTGATCCTGGTGGGACGTGGGTAAGCCGTAAAGATGCCTGGAACTGCCTGCTTTATTTCCAATGCTAGCAGGTTTTGAGTTGTTATCACTACAGCGTGGTGTTTAAAAACCTGAGTTTTGCACTCAAAGAGACGTAAGTGTGAGTTTAGTCCTGACGCTGAATAATTCTGTGGTCTTGAGCAAGTTCTTGAGAGGTGGAGACTCTTGGTAAGCTGATGTGGTGTGTGGCTTTGAGCTGTCCTGTTGTGTATCTCGACTTTCTCAAGTCCTGCAGTTCTGACTGGGGATCACATCTGACATTAAACAATATGACTAATTCCCCAAGGAAGATTGGATAACCAGTCTCATTGCTTTGAAGTATCATCTCATATGAAGAGTGTTACAAATATGTGCAATCATATAATGAATCTAAACTAATGGCTCTAGCATATCTTTGAATGAAATCTCTCAAATTACCAGTTAAATTTTGTGGCAATGTCAGGGCAGTGATAGATCTTGGCGTCTCTACCTGGAGGCCATGAGATTAATCCAGTAACTTAGATGTTCAGAAACTCGGTGACTGTATGTCTCCCACACATGCTAGCTACCATTGTCATTATTATTATTAGTAGTATTAGCCTTACTTTCTTGTGGTTTCATGCAGCTTTTTGTTGATTCCTTAAGAGGTAGCATCTCTTTGTAATTCAATATGGTGTGATGTTTTGATAAGTATTGTTGCTGATCCTGTAAAGTTGAAGGAGAGGCTCATATCATTGAGAATGGAGTATTCCTTAGAATTTGGTGAAAAATCAGGCAAGATTTTCCATTTGTAAGGTTTCCCATTACGCTGAGCTCCTCTAGGGCAGGGGTCATCTCTCTTGATTGTGTCTGTGTCCCTTGAGCCTGGCACAGTGTCTGTTGAATTTTCAAACTGAGCACTAACAAGAACCATTGCTGAGAGGGCAATCTACCAGAAGAGCTTGATCTGTCAAATTTTGCTGTGTTCTGTCACTAGCCCATTCCAGTGGCTGGAGTGGTGGTCTTTGCCGAATGTACTCAGGCTGTGGAGACTGGCTTTTCACTTTTTGGATTTTGAAAAGTTGGAGAAATCAAATGGGCTCAGATCTGAGATAGCCCAGGGAATTGTGAGTCCTCCTTTGGAGCCGGTGATTGTAGAAGATGCTCGTGGGGCTCTGCCCAGACCCCTGCTGTCTTCCTGTGCTCACTCCCAGCTCCTGTGTGTGTTGCTTCTAAGGCTTACACCTGTCACCAGCTTCAGAGCCCTGCCCCTGGGCTGCTGCAGCCAATGATGGGTTGGTGCAGGAATGTTAGAGAGCAGCGCCCCTGTCTCAAGTTGAAGAAGCTCTGAGGTATGTGATTTGCACTCTGAATGCCCGTGGAGATTGGGCTGAGGATGGGACTTTGCCTGCAATCACATCCTTGCATGGCTTCTTCCCTTCGTCTGTGCTGTTTCTCATTTCCCTTACCAGTTTCTCCTGGAAATAATTTCCTAATGAACCACTTGCTTGTGAATCCTCATCTCAGGATCGGCTTCTAGGGAGCTTGATCTGAGATGGTAGTTAATGCGTACTTAATCTCACGACTGTGTTGATGGAAAATAGTAAGAAAGTGCTTATGAGCCTATTCTTGGCACCTATGGGTCACTATCCAGGAGTGAAGTAGAAAGCCTGCAGGGAATCAGGGGAGTCCAGGTGTTGCTGGAGGTGGGTGTCATACTGGGGCAGGCACCGTCAGTCACTTGTGGCTTCCCTTGTGTGCTCCTGGCAGAAGTCTTGGACTTGGAGTCTTCCTGCTAGGGCAGGAGGCATCACTGGCTTGCCTTAGAGGGAGGAGAGGCATGGTCAGCCTCGGGGAGGAGGTCCCTGAGGGGAATTGGAAGGGATGAAAGCAGCCAGGAGGAAACCTGGGTTCACGTAAATGATCACTGTGTGACTTTGGGCAACTATGTTCCTTCTGGGCTTCAGGTCTCCCTTCTCCTGTGCTCAGAAGCGAGGAAGGTGGGCAGCTACGTTAGGTTCAAAACATGTTTATTGAGCAACTACCATGTGTGGGCTCTAGTGCCTCCACATTTAACTCTCGTAAAACCCCAAGGTGTCGGGAGTAGTGCCCCATTTTAGAGAGTAAGAGAATAAGGCCCAGAAAGGGAGTCAGTTGTCCAGGCTTCCATGGCAAGTAAGAGCCAAAATTAGACTTCACGAAACCATGTGCAAGTGTGGACTTCATGGTGTGATCATGTCTTCACTATTTATTTTGTACTTGAAGGGTTTGGTATACAATTATAGAAATATAAACATAATTACATTTATTGAAAAGACTTTCCTTTCTCCATTGTATATTCTTAGCTCCCTTGGTGAAGGTTAACTCTCCGGAGATGTGTGGTTGAATCAACGTGAACTCGGTAGAATAATAAAAAAAAAATAGAGGAATAAAACCCTTTGTTTTCAATTTCACGTTTTTGGTTTTGTTACTCCTATTCCTTTCAAATCAATCTTCCTCATATGCAATCTATTATAATGTGTGAAAGAGCTTAAGAAGTAGGTGTTCTATTAGCCTTTGATAAAATCTTTTGGTGACTTTAGTTTTAAAACTAAGTCAGGGTGGCATGGCATGATTCCATCCTGCAGAAATTAATGTGGCTACTGTACAGGAAGTGCATGTTTTTGCGCCAGGCTACAAAATACTGTTTGCTGACTGAATCTGTGAATGACAATAGATACTTCAGTGTTTTACAAGTGACATTTCCTCAAGCCATGCTAACATCCTTGGCCACCGTGAGAACAACGGCAGGTGCGAGGCCATGAGAGGGAGTCTGAAAGTTGCTGCAGAGGTCATCTAACCCGGTGCTCCTTCGCTGGGCTGCTACACCTTGTGTCAGTGCCCCAGCCACACCCCAGGGCAACTCATTGAAGGTCTTGGAGGTGAGGCTCTGATGTTTTTTAGTTTCCAAGGTGATTCTAATACTTTTACATTAAAACAAGCTGAGATCAGATGCTCCAGTGCAATTACCAGGATGTTTCCCGAACACCTATAGATTTCAAATTGCTCTTGACCATCAGCTTTTTGGGCAACACATTCCACTTTATACTTTCCCAAGCATCAGTAAACTTGGGTTAAATGTCCCAAGCTCTTTCACAGAGCTGTTCCTATTAATCTCACTCAGTTATTTTTCTTTTGGAAACTGTGTGTATTTAATAGGGAGTGAGAAGGGCTTTTTTTCACTCCTACAGAGTATTGTCTCTGCGCTATTCAAGTCTGGTATTCCTCAATGCCACACAATTATGGGAATAAGCATATTGTTTCAATAGGAGCAAAGTTTCTCTTCATTTCATCGACTTTTCCAGTTTGTTCGAGTGATGACTCACATTGGATATTGGGATTGAACGTTTTGTTTCATTTTTTTCTTTAGTATACAGTTTTTCTTCCCATTATAAAAGTAACATGTCCATTAAGAGAAATTTGGAAAATAAACAGTAGAAGGAAGAAAATAACATCCATACTTCCATATCCGAAAGTAATTATTGTTGCTATTTTCTTTGTGTCTTTTTTTCTATGCCAAGATTTCTTATAATGGTGTGCATATATTTTTATTCTTCTGTTTTCACTTCACTTCACATCATATCATTATCATTTTTCCAATGTCTTTATACACATAATTTTTAAGGGCTGCGTAACACTCTCTTGAGTGTATGTCTCATAATTCACATAACCATTTCTGTATTGTTTGATGTTTAGTCTGTTTCCAATTTTGAAATATAATTTCTTGATCTTTATAAGTTAATAAACCCTTTTCCATAAGACTTCGTTTTTGTGACATATTTATAAAACTCACCTAGGATGATTACATGAACCCATTATTTCCATATGAAGTAATTAGAACTTGTAGCATTACTACTCAGTCCGCTGACGACAAGCTTTATCAGACTATCTAGGGTTTACGTGTGAGCAGGACTAGGTTGGGCATATTGCCTGAACCCT